ATATAGACATACCACATACGGTTCTACTTTGATTCTTCTTCGGAAAAATTGATAGTAATAATCCCAACTATTGGCGGTCCGCTCATAATAATCCCAACTATTGATTATTACAGAATAATCCCAACTTTAGGGACCTTCCGCCAATAATGGTCCCTATGAATAAATTCTTGTAGTTTCTAAAGTGGATGGGGTGAGATATAACAAGTAATCCTTCTAAATAATCTCAACTTTTAATTTTTACTCTTAATTTCTATTTAAAATTCACTTTTTATAGAGGTAATATATGGTCATGGACCATTATTGGCGGATAGTCTATATAGTTGGGATTATACAAAAATAATCAATAGTTGGGATTATTTTCAGCGGACCGGCAATAGTTGGGATTATTATTTTCAATTTTTCCTTCTTATTCATTTCATTCCCACAATTGTTCAATGGTTCTGTAAGATAAAGATTGGTTGCAGATCTTAGTGATTCAGGCATGATTAATTGGAGGAGAAATTAATTGGACCTACATTTTCTATCTTTTGCTTCAGGAAAGACGAACTACGGTTGATAATAAAACTGTAGTCAACAATCAAGAAATGGGAAAACTGCAGATCAGGAGAAAGGTTCCTAACAATCTCAGTGAAGAAGAAAATCAGGTGTCTGGTGGTGTATGTAGCCCGTGGCAGCAAATTCCACCACAACCAACTCAACTGCAGATGCACACTACTAGTCCCGAAGATCAACTCAAGGCATCTCGCGACGTAAGGTGCCAACTTGTGTGATGGCTATTTTTGGACTACAGTAACCTACCATGATTTTGAATTTTTATTTGATGGATTTCTGAAGTTTTTTAAGTTCCTTTTGTAGTGGTTTTTTGCCTGAAATACACCTCAATATGCTAAAAGGAAAATATTTGATATCATCAATTTCTGCCAATTAAGTAAATCAAGATAATGCTACCAAATAGGATCTTATTCTATTGGAAAACTAATGAAACCAACCAATCCAAAATTAATTTATGAAAGGAGCTCATGTTGTCTATAAAGACCACTGACCACACTCTATGCTAAAACAAACAATGATAGTGCTTACGGTTCATCTAAAAAAGACAGTGATAGTGATGTATAGAGGTGACAACAAGGATTGCCGCAAAAGTAACAAGGGTGATATGTTAGTGTCCTTAACAGATATCTATATGGGGCTTAACTTTTATTGTCTTTTAGTATCTTCTTGGTGATAAATTGCATGTTTGTGCTGTCGATGTGATGTAGGTGGCGATGGCAACAGCTGCTAAAGCTAAACTTCTTTTGAGAGAACTAAAAACAGTTAAAGCAGATCTGACATTCGCAAAACAGCGATGCTCGCAGCTGGAAGAAGAAAACAAGATGCTTCGGGATGCTCGTGAAAAGGGAGGCAATCTTGCTGATGATGACATGGTAATCTCTTACATATGTGTTTGTGGTGACCACGAACCTTGACTTTATAACTGTTAAGAGTCTTGCATAGTGACAATAAAGAGATATACTTGAGTTTATAAGACCTGGAGTTAGATTAGCTAATTGATTGATTTCAATCCTTTAGTATTTTTTAATGCATACTCATTATGACCTTGTTTATTGATCCCAACCCAATTAAATTCTCTACAACGCAGGGACAAGCGTTCATTAACACTGTTTTGATTGGATGGGGCATAGATAGGATTGGGTATGGTCAAATCAGGAACAAAAAAACATAGGTGACCAAGGGCGAGCTAGCGTCTCGACAAGACTACAAAAACTTTGAAAAAAAAGAGACATAAACACTATTGATTTTTTCTTTAAAAAAACACTATTGATTTAGGACACACTTTCCACTAGTACTAGGTGATGATCAAAAGGGTGGTAATGGTCATATAATTCATAGTACTTATTTCTTCATTTGCAGATAAGGCATCAACTTGAAACCTTACTAGCAGAGAAGTCCAGATTAGCAAATGAGAATGCTGTGTATGCCCGGGAGAATCGGTTCTTGAGAGAAATTGTAGAATATCACCAACTGACTATGCAGGACGTGGTGTATTTGGATGATGAGGGAGCCATTGATGAAGTAACAGAAGTTTACACACCCACTACGCTTGGTGGAGTCAGGGGGGTGTTCTCGTCTTCTCCAACATCCCCTGCATCCCCTCGTTCACTCCCTGATACAATAAGCTCCTCCCCTGTCACCAACTTTCCCATGATGAAGAGAAGCTCTTCCGTCAACAAGTTCCCTCTTCCTCTTTCACCGCAACCAACGACTGATGTTCCAAAGCTTGATCCCCCGCCGTGTTTCAGAGCTGAAGGTTCTAAGAGACAATAACAAACTAACACATCTATTTACTTCGTTCAATTAATTTCCATAAACAACACTCATTATATACTTCACTTCAGTAGGGTATTTCTCCTTATGGAGGTTTTTTTCTATATACTACGATTATTAAAGCAAAATCATTGACAAAGTAGGAGGTGAACAAGAGTTGTTATGATATATACTAGTAATTCATTACGTTTACCTATATGTGATTTCTCATCTGTCATCATGCTAGTTTTAAAGAGCTCACTTTGCTGTAAAGATCAGGTGGGTGATGAAGTGCCTAAATCTATCACTTTTGGTTTACATGTGCAATGTTGGGATTAGCTAGTCATATTACTCGGTTGAGGGTGATTGACTATAAATTTAGTACCAGACCTGATGATTGGGTATGATTTGTTATTTTTTGTGTGGAGATTTTAAATAAGCCATTATTATTACATTAAAAAAAAGTTTTAGTCAAAGAGAAGGCTCAATGTGCTTTAAAAATCTCATCATGGTACCCACGGAATCACTTCCATATAGTATCAATATCGTTGTATATTTTGAAAATAATTAGTATACTGCTATACTAAAAATACAATCAAACAATTTTTTTTTAAATTATAAAAATGACCAGAACACATCACCTAAAATATACGTAGTAAATGACTTTATTATGCTCATGTTATTTGAATTATGTTTACTTTTTATTTATATCTATGTTGTTTAAGTTAGCTTTACAGGTGTTTTAGCATGTGGTACGTGGCAAATGTTGAAACATTATTATCATAAACTCTTATTCAAAACTGAATAGGACAGAATAACTGGGCTACTATAAGTACAACAACACCAAGCCTTAATCTCCAAAGAATTTGGGATCAGCTAGGTTATTATTAGTATTTTGTAAAATTTTTATTAATGTTTTGGAAATATTTTTTATTGTTGTTTCTCACATATCACTAGAAACACTAATTTTGTATACTCCCTCCGTCCCAATAAAAACTTTGGTTTTGACTGGGCACACTTTTTAAGATAGTGGATTTGTGTGGTGGAGAGTTGTGCAGATGAGAGAGAAATGTGTAAGAATGTGTAAGAATGATTGTGATCCACAAACTCTTTGCCAAAAAGGAAAAAATGAGATAAATTTGGGACGGACTGAAATGGAAAGAATGAACATAATTTGTTACTACCTCCGTCCCTTTTATATTGGGACAGAAGAAGGTGACACGAGTTTTAAGAAAAATGGATTTGTGTGGTTGATATTAATTGATAAAGTAAGAATAAAGTGAGAATGATTTTGAGCCACACAAACTTTACCAAATAAGGTATGTGACAATTAAATAGGGACATCCCAATATGGTAAAACGGACATTTAAAAGGGGACGGAGGGAGTATATTAGAATTCTAGTGTGACATGAAATTTACCAATGCCGTGTTTTAACCGTATCAAAATTTCGGCGTGCCGAAAAACGGTTTACTAAAATTTCGGTAAGGTAACAATATGTGTTTTTTGTAACTAAAGTGTCAAGGAAGCGGTCCAGCCCAGCTAGTCGCCGACTCACTCTCCCTTACGGGAGGTCTCGAGTTTAAAACTCAATGAAATGAGTTTCAGCCCTGATTAGTTCAGACCACCCAGCCCCCCTCCCCCAGATGCCCCTGGAGTAAAAAAAAAATAAAAAAAAAAGTTGAAAAAAAATGTAATTAAAGTGTCATACTTGAATAAAACACGGACTATATTATTGTTGTTGTTGTTGTTACTACTCCGTATTATTGGAATGCACCACCCCTAGCTTTGACTGTGATTTATCAACTCATGACTTGTTATTTGTTAATCTCTCATAGTTATAGGATGGCTAAAAGAATTACTACTCGTTCCCAATGCCAAATACATGGGCACAGTCCCAATTTCGAATCAGGGCCATTTTGTTTATTTGATTATTTCCACGTGACCATGTCAACAAGATCATGTCCCGATTAAGCAAAATTAGGACCTGAACAATTATTCTGCGACTCTTATTTTTAGATCAATCTTGATAATAAAGAAACAGCCCAAAATTGGCTCGAGAACCAGACCTGAATAACTACGATGTGGTTAAAGCTATTTTAAATTTGAGAATAGACAAGGGGACAACCCGGTACACGAAGGCATCCCGGCAAAGTATACATCCGGAGAACCACAAGGATGTATAAGAGCCTCCCCTATCAAAAATTTTAAAAGAGGCTGCTTCCAATACTTAACGAGTTAACACGTGACCTCTCATTCATATGATAACACCTTAACCAGTGCATTAAAACTCCCCTTCAAAATTGAGAATAGTACTGAGTGGAAATTTGACCAAATAATTCGTGGGGTTTCTTCTTTGATAGAAAATATACGCTGTGTTATCTCCTCCACTATCCTTGAAACATGTACTGCAAAGTGAAAGTACGTACTACGTAGTACTAAATATAGTACAAGTACTTGCTAGATAATAGTCATAATACCAAATATAATACTCCTTCCGTCCTAGCTTGAGTTTCTCAATTTTCTTTTGTGAACATCTCGCTTAAAGTTTTTCATTTTTATTTTAGAAAATAATTAACACTCTTAATTAATCATCAAATATTAAAAAATGCACATATAAACATCACGGTTATCATCAATGACTTCAATATGTTATATACTCGAATTACCTTATTTAATTATTTTCTAAATAATTTCAGGACGGAAATCGTATGAGATGAATGTAATAAGACCGGAAAACAAATTAGATAGAGATGGTGAGACAGATGGAATATAAATTGAAGTACATGAACTGCGCCTGGTGAAGCTATACAGGCATTCCAGCAATGAGAAAACAGGCAAAAAGAGAACAAAATTGCAAAGCTCTTTTATATACGTAGTCTATGCATATTAGATTAGAAGTAAATTAGCGGTTCAACACATTGTCACCTTAGTGGACTACGTGAACCAATTCGGAACATTGAGCTTCTTCAGTTACAAGGCTATAAACAATTTCTACAGTTTGTGTTACAACATTTTCCAATGCACTGCTGCTTTTGTTTTCTGGCGATAACAGCAAGGAGAAAAATGAGCTCTTTTGGGTGTAGGAATCTTTTCTTTTCTAATCTTCAGAACCGCTTCACAGAGAAGAAACGTTTCACAGAGAAGAAACGCCCTAGAGAGAAGAAACGCTTCACAGAGAAGAAACGCTTCAGCGAGAAGAAACGCCTGTATATGGACTAATTGGCCAATTGATGATTTAGAACAACTGGAAAAACAGACTGGTTGATCCGTCACCAAATGACTTGAGATCAGCTGATCTTACCAACGCCCTGCACAAAGGACATGTCCTTTCCCTCTCAAACCTGAACAAAAATGGAAGCATATTCAGCCATTTTCAACCATGACAATACTATTTCTCTGAAGAAGCTATTGTGTCATTAAATTGAAAATCACTTTTGTTCTGCCCCCTACTTGTATGAAGGGTTATCATGAAAGAAACAAAAAAACAAGCCCGCTTCAGATTCAAATTCAGTGGGCACCACATTCTAACAAAGTAGTCTACTCCATAGGGCCCTCGTGATAGCTCCACACACCCATTGTTGTGGGCCAACCGGCCAACCCATGATTGGACTACCGTTTCAATCAGAATAACGCATAATAAGCAAGCATAATAGTATGTCAAAATAAGGAAATGACAAACTAACCACTCAGAGACACAGTCTTCACAAAATATGTGTTTACAACGAAGCAAGATTGGGGCATGCATCTTTTCCTGGCATATAGCACACAGATCCCCTGCTGCAATCACCTGCCAAATAAATAAGGGAATATAGAAGTATCCAAGACATTAATAACCTTTCTTCCTTTAACCTTGATCAACACAGGATATCCACACCGGATGCAACATAGGATAGCCGAAGTGATGCGTAATTTCAAATGTAATGGCATGTGTATTCTATTATAGCAACTGGGTAGTTTCTGTCAATGCATATCTTTAAACGGATACATTAGGGAGAAGAGTTTGTAACTCGGAAAATGGTAGCGGAAGGGGGCAAAGGCCCAGCTGAACATTTTTTCCTTAAAGTAGTTGGTTTGAAATTGGAAAATAGAAAGGAGAATCATTCATTAGAAGTATTGAAATTTTATATACATTTTGTAATATAAAACTCCGCCATGAGATCATTTTTGGTATCATGTTTGTCCCAAGCCACAATAAAGGAGGGGGGTGCTCTGGTAAGAGCACGACGGCCAACAACAATATCACTTAGCCACATCACATGACAATATGACATGAATCGAAATATTAATTCTTGGGACTAAGGCTTGGATGATGATGATGATGTTATTAATATAATAAAAAAAATATAAATATGTCCATGCAAATATCTAAGTGATTAATATTGTTTGAACAATTTTGAACTTTCACCCAAATTTTCTTCCCTTCAAAATTTCCCGTCTAATTTCCTAGTTTACTTTCCCTAATTTTCCAGCTTCCAAGTGAATCCTTAAGGTATCAAAACAACACACCTTTTTCACCATACAACTCATAACAATTCAGTTCTAAGGAAAGAAGAAGAAAATATATTCCTTACCTGTTCAGAAGTTGCATATGCTCCGTAATGGATCTCTCGGCGCGAAAGAGCCTTTAGAGCACTGAAAAATGATTGGACCTAAACAGACATGCCACAGGTCAGAGAACTAAATATACAAAACTACAAACACTTCGCATTAATGAAGATATCTAAATCTCAATTTAGAAAGAGATAAGTGATGACGTGGAAAAGCAGACCTTTTCAACAACAGAAGTGAGCTTGAAAGTCAAATACAACCCGGTCATTAATGATGAGAAGAGGCTTCCATATTCCTTGTTAAGAAAGAAACGGTACCACACTGGTGCTGGAAGCAGCACACGATAAAGCAGCACAAGATACTCAACCAGAGTGAGCATTTGTCCCTACAAAGAGAAATAAGTCTTCATTCGTTAATGGCTATTAAATAACCTAGCAAACAATGGGATCCAGTGGACATGCAGTTTCTATACAATCCCTTACCTGCTTCCGGTAGTTCCTTCCTTTGCTGTTCTTGTAATACATCAATAGAACGCACTTGGGAACCATTGCTGCTTGACGGACTAAGGTGTCTATACATAAAAACAATAAATTTGAATGAAAAAGATGGCATACTTAATATCCAGTGTTTTCCATTACTCCTTTCATCCCAAAAAAAAAGAGAGTAGCATCGAGCATCTTTGTCCGAAAAGTGGAGTTTGATCAAGCCAAGTTAATTTTTCATGTAATTTGTAAACCAATTTGCCAAAAGAAGTCACATACTACGTACAAGTTTAATATGATAAATTTAGTTTAACCAACAAATAAATTTAAAAATAAAAGTATGATTCATGATTTATGCTAGATGTACCTTACCAAAACTAAAAACTTGTATATTGATCAAACAAATCTCTTAAATAGGCACATAGGTAGTATTAGACTATTAGGTACATATATGATAATCATACTACATAACAATTAACCCAAAACACACCATTCGCCATGATCATAAATATAGCATGCCAGAAGGGTGGTATAGCCTTTGGTGGAAGCATAACCAATGGGTATAAAAGCTCATCTTGCCGAAACCACCAATACAACCCAACCACATGAACTGTAAACAGGATAGAAATTATAGCAAGAACAGAAATCTTCCTTTCCCCCTGCATACAAAATAAAGAGGTTGGTCATTTCCTGCATTGACTAAATAACATGGGTCTAAAAAGGAGTACAAGAATGAGTTGCTGGATCTAATATACTTCCATAAGCAACCCTAATTCCCCTCTTTTTTCTAACTTCACTATCTTCTAAGATGATTAGAGTTATGGTTTAGGATTTGGGGTGTGTCTACATGGAATTTTATACTACGGTATTACCTTAAGAGCTGTTTGCTTCCGAACAATATCATTAGATTTGAACATAACAGCAGCAAGGAACATGGTCACAAAAAAACCTGCCCATTATAATGTGTTGTCACAAAAATATTAGAGAACCTACAAAACCAATATAACCGGAACTGAAAAAAGTATTGCAATTGGAACTAATATTTATAATTTCAGTACATAGAAAAGTTGAACAAGACTCTTACAAAAGTAATCTTAACAGAGGAAGAACTCAAGAAGAAGAAAATAGAAGAGAAAGGCCCATTTGGAATTAAGGAAGAGAAAACAACAACGACAAACGAGCACCCTTTCAGTATTCAACATTCTACAATGTAAGAAATAGAGCAGAAGTCACCAAAGAAAACATATTACATAGGTTCCCAAATTGAAGCACTTTGATTTGACGCCAATTAAGCAAAACAAGAAAGGCAGTGCATGGGAAGCAATGATAAACATCACATTAACTCGGATCTTAGAACATCGGCATGATGACAAGTAAAGTTCAGCATTCAGCAGATTCAATCATTTTAGCCAAATACACTTATCCCACTAGGCCTAAATCAATGATATGGTTCAATCAAAGCAATTGCAGCTACTAAGCAGAGGTAAGGAGAAAATACCTTGCAAGTGCTGCCGAATGAAAACAACCAATAGAAGCAAAGTGAAGGGAAGGACTTGCTCAATCCACCTAGCAGCCTGTTGAATATCATATCTTTGGTAAGAAGAGTCCCTGTTGGAGGTCCCACCTCCATCTGCATTGCCAGTATCCGCACTTCCATTTGTAGCTTGATGATTGAAGCCTCCCTCTCCTGCTGTGTCACTTCTGAAGTCACTCTGACTATCAAAACCAGATGATACAGAAGCTGCAGAAGCAGACCTTGAAATTGGCTCGTTTTGCCCACTTAACTCCCTCAATGGCCCAGAAATGGGTGAGGTCAAACCCGCTCCACTGCTGTCATGTTCTTGATCACCTGAACCGATTATCCTAATTGTGACCTCCTCTGCAGACCCGGGATGAGCAGTGGGTGCTCCAGAATCATCCGGTCTTTGCTGAAAATTGTCTCTATACCCAAGGGAAGATCTGTGGTTGATCAAACTGTCTGTTTCTGAGTGGCTGGACCTTGTCCTTAAGATGCCAGTGTATTCCAACAAGCTAGACACAGGGTATCTGAATATATTTGACGCTGAAAGCTGTACCCCGTATCTTCTAGAATGGCCATTACTGCTAGCAGTGTTCGAAGCACCTCTCTGGGAGTCCGAGTTACCACCGGAGGCGTCCATCCTTGAGGATGACCTTGCTCTAAACCTCACCCTGAACAAGGATACAATTTCGCTCATTCTTTTAGCAAGCCAAAAATCAAATGAGAGAAAAACACTGTTAAAATTGAGAAAACCTGCGCGATCGAAAATCCGTCGAGGCTCCTTTGCTATGATGGCGTTGAAGAAGACCCTAGAACATCAAAACCCTAGAGAGAATTTGCCAAAAGGAGACAGAAATGTCAAAAGGAAGGAAATCAGCCGAACCAACCGATCCTGCACCGCATAAATCATGAGTCAATCGAAAAGAAAGAAAATTCGCCCAAGATATCATACGCGGGATTCATTCCCTCAATTCATAGAAACGTACATAGCGAAGGCAGGGCGGACGAAAACGAGAGCCGGGAAAGGGCTGAGCAAAGCGAAGGCGAAGCCAGAAGCGGCGGATGCGATCGTTGGGCGGTGAAACCGTGAAAGGGAATGGAGAGTCAATAAGAGTATGTTTTGTGTCGGAGTTGATTGATTCTTTTCCCTTTCATGGTTTCACACTGAGCCCGAAGATGAGAAAGAGCGACAGGGAAGATAGAGGAAGAAGGCGGAGAGAGAAAGAGAGAGAGAGGTGGTCACCAGAGAGCCAATACGACGGTGACAACTATCTGCTACGTTTTCAATGGTACTCCTATTTCCTCTCAACTCTTTTTTCTTTTATTTATTCTTTTCTGTTTTTTTGGTAAGCATTATTTTTTGTTTTTCACACACAATAAGCAAAGTGATACTACGTATTATTGTAAAAATTACTAGTATTGTGCTACTATCCATTATCATTAAAGGCCATAAAAAGGATGGATGAAAATTGGTAAATTTCTTACAATAGAAGTTGTATAATATGGTTTTCTAAATGAGACAGTGTATTGGAGTATAGTGCATCCTATATAGGGGTAGACCCGGTCGGCGGTCCAGACCGGTCTGGAACCAGGACCGCTACTGTGCGCGACACAGTGATCCTATCGGGTTCGAAAAACCGGTCTCGATGCAAGACTAGGTACTCGGCAGTCCCTGTCTCGGTTCACAGTTTTCGGGACTAAACCGGGCGGTTCAGGTCTCTGTTCCAGTCCCAGCCCGCTTTGTTTAAACTTTGATCCGACCAAAAAAGAAGAAGAAATGAAAATCGGGTCCGGGATCGGATCGGCCCGATACCAAATTTGGCCCATACCTGAAAAGGCGGATCGGCCCTGGATATGCTACTGTCTTTTGGCTTTGAAGTTCACTAATTCGATTTGGAGTTGGCAATTCTTCAAATGCATGGACTTTTACGCGATATGAAGCATCCGAATCATATGAGGTTAGTTATGGACAAAACATGTTTAGTGATGTGTCTAGAGAGAGGAGGGGAGGGGGAAACCCTAGCCTCCTCCTATTCTTTTCTTCTCCTCTAATTCTTTTGACTTCAATTATAAAAAATGATTAGTTTAATCATTATTTTCGATTCTACCTATACGTTTTCGGGACTTGAAGAAGGCAGGGCGGATGAGCAAGACTAATCGCTACACATGCGAGAGATTTGAAGTGAAAACTGGCCATATCGGTATCCATGTCATTCCCCCCTTCAACTCTTTTACGGTTCTGACCCACTTTGCCTCCCTTGCTTGATGAGCCTCCTTCTACCACCCAAATTTCCTTCACCTTTGTCAAAGATCTCAACTTCTCATCCTCAGATTTAACAACCTCTTCCCCTGCCTTTATCCCTCTATAGTGTCCCTCTCAGGAGAAACTATCAATTTGTTCCCTTCAACTCGTGCCTTCCCTTTTTGTGACCCTAAGGGAAGGGGGAGGGTGTCCCCAACATAAATGTTATAAAGAAGTTTTAAAGATTGTAAATCCCGTGAATTTAATCGAATTTAAGAGATTCTATCGATTTTAATAGAACTTTGTGAAATTATGTTGATGGAGTATATGGTCCAGGAACCCCCGGCCCATAGACTCCTACTTCTCCTACACAAGTCCATTGAGCCCAGGAAACAACTCAGGCCCAAATACAACGGCCCAAGCCTCAAAGTAGCTCAGAATACACACTGGGATGCCTTCGGCCTCCTTGGCCGAAGGCTCCAGAACTCACAGGATAGCCTTTTTGGCATAAGAAGCTGCTGGGAGAAAACGGGCGAAAACGTGAGCCTTCGGCATTGTCATGCCCTCGGCATCAGAGAAGCCTTCGGCTGAACCAAGCCTTCGGCCACACAAGGGTCCTAGCCACATGGAACCCTCGGTTACATGGAGCCCTCGGCTACACAAGGAGCCTTCGGCCAAACATGTTCTATCATCGAAGATTCCTTTTAGAGACAGCCAACCACCGCATTTAATGCCACGTCACATCCGCCAACCGCAATCAATGCGGTGGACGTGCTACTGCCGGTGCCAACCGGCTGATGTGACCCTTCGGCCGTTGGATTACTGACACGTGTCCTCTCATCGCATTTATTGCTGCTATAAATAGCAGCCCATTTCTCCTTGTAAATCATGATCTACATCCCAACTCCACACGCTGAGTTCATTTAATAAATCGACTCTCTCTCCTCCTATTTTGCTCTAACTTCTCTCTATTTATTCTCGCAATAACCCCTCGGATAAGATACCCCCCGGGTAAATTATCCATCATTTGGTGCTCTCGTTGAGAGGTGAGAACAATCAAGTAAGAAACCCTCCCCCTCTACCGAACACAAAACACTTACCAAAAATGGGAAGAACCACCCGTGCCCAGTCCAAAACCCTTGAGGAGAACCACGTAGCCCCCGGCGAAACCAACGGGGCTGAGGCCTCCAACAGGCTCTTGGTACCCGAGGGTGGTATCATCCTTGAGTTGGAGCAGGCTACCGCTGACCTCCGTCATCAGCTGCAGAAGAACGCCCCTGATGCCCGCATTGGCCTTGATAATCGAAGGAGGGATCGGAGTGAGAACCAAGTTCCCCCTCCGGCCCCGGCCATCGATCTTCAGGCTGCCTTTGCGGCCTTTGTCCAAAACATGGCTCTCAATTCTGGAGCCCTCGCCTCTCAGGCGCCCCTTCAGCCCTATGCTGGAGGGAACGTTATCAACCTACCACCACTCCCTCCTTTGTTCAACAACCCTCCCCCGGGGGTTGGCAATGCCGAGGGGATTATAGCACAGGATACCGCCTCCCAGGAGGCCCAATCCAGGGACAAGCGCCCCATGATGAAGGAGAAACCCCGAACCTCTGCACTTGAGAGGCTTGGGGGAGCTCCCGGACGCCGAGGGGTCCAAGACCGCCTCGGCAAACAGGAAATCAGCAAGCCCCAGGAGAGTGGAGCCTCCGCTTCGGGGGCCGAGGGCATGCCTCCCCCCCGAAGCAAAGGCAAAGCCCTCCTCCATGCCAATGACGCCAGGCACCAAATCACACAGGCGCAATCCTTCTGGGCCAACTCCCAAGGGGTTGCCCCGAAGGATCCCAAGGACGAAATCATTGAAGCCCTCCTCCGTCAACTCGAGGAGAATCGTCAGGCACCGCCGACGGCTTCCACAGCTAGGCCAGATCCGGAGTACGCTGGCCTCCGAGCACAGGTGGAGGAAATGAAACGTAAACTTGCCGAAGGCTCAGGCGAGCCCCTCATTCAACTCCGCACTAGAACACCCTTCACCCCAAGGGTGTTGGCGGCCAAAATCCCCCACAAATATCGGGGGACAACCCATCAAGCCGTATGAGGGGAAGACGGATCCCCAGGAGCACTATAGCCGTTATCAGAACAGCATGATGATGATGGGGGCATCGGATGAATACTTATGCCGTTGGTTCCTTTCCACCTTGGAGGGACCCGCGTATGAGTGGTTCAACCGGTTGCCCGAAGGCAGCATTGATTCTTGGCAAGAACTTGCCCACCACTTCCTTACACAATTTGCAGGGAGGCACCGCTCAAAGAAACACTTCTCTCACCTTCTAAACGTGAGACAACAGAAGGAGGAAACCCTTCGGAGTTTCCTAGAACGCTGGAGGCAGGCCTCCCTCGAGGTCGAAGGCGCCGACGACAGAACCCTGATGGCCCTCTTCCACACCGTCCTCCGCAACGGTAACTTCTCCAGGAGCCTCATCACTGATCCCCCCCGCGATTATACAAAGGCCCTTCAGCGGGGGGACCGTTATGCTGAAGCGGAGGAAATCGAGAAGGACCGCCGCAACACGGATCCTTCTCAGAAGAATGAGGGCAGGAATCGGTCCGGAGGGCCTCCCCCTCCGGCCAACCGAGAGCCCCATTACAATGATCGCTCCCGAGGTGGCCAAGCCAGACCCGGGGGCGGTTACAAGAACAATCCAAAGGCATGGGCGCAACCCGTCCTCCTGGAGCACCCACGCACTCCCCTGACGCACCCCGTCAGCGTCATTCTAGATCATGCAGAAGAGCGGGGGCTCGTTGAGCGAGACTCCCGTACACCCCTCGAGATTTATGCTATCGGCCCTGATGAGCCATATTGCCGCTTTCACCGCCACCATGGACACAAAACCGACGACTGCCATCAGCTGAAGAACGCAATTGAGAGGTTAATACAGGCGGGCCACCTGTCTCAGTTTATCAGGGGCCCTCCTCCCCAGGGCCCCCTTCACCATCCAGGGCCTCCGCCGAAGGCTAACAAATGGGTGAACCCCAACACCATCCCCTTGGGAAACCCACAGGGGAAGAAGCGCGAAATTGGGGGCCTCGACGACGAGGGAGAAGGCTCTCATCAACAATACAAGCGCCATATTCATATGATCAACGGCGGCAACACCGGAGGCGATTCAACAAGCCAGAGGAAGAAGTGGGCACAGTCCCTTTACATTGGGGAAGTCAATCACATGCCCCCAACTAAAAGGCCGAGGGCGGATCCGATCTTATTCACGGATGCGGACCTCCCCTCGGGTTCTCTGCCGCATAGGGATGCCCTCGTCATCCGCACTGAGATCAATGACGCCATCATCCACCGGACTTACGTCGACACGGGGAGTTCTGTCAACGTCATGTATCTCAGCACTTTTCAAGAGTTGGGACTCGATAGGGGGTCCCTTCGGCACATCAACACCCCCCTCTCCGGATTTACGGGGGATAGCGTAGACGCCGAAGGCGTCATCACCCTAGTGGTTGAATTCAGCGACGGATCCCATAGAGCCAAGCTCGAAGTGGAATTCGTCGTCGTCAACCTCGACTGCGCGCACAACATCATCCTCGGCCGGCCTGCCCTCGAGGACTTAGAAGCCGTCATCTCCATGAAACACCTTTGCCTCAAATTCCCTACACCCACCGGCATCGGCTATTCGAGGGGGAACCAGAAACTCTCCAGGGCCTGCTACCTTCAGCTTACCAAGAAGGTTAGTAAAACTGAGTTTCGTGTTGACACCATCACCACCAAGGCCTT